CCACACCCATATATACACAGACACATATTTCTTATAAAAAAAAACTATGTAACAAGTTAAGTTTCTTAGACAAGTCTCCTTATTCATTGTATATTGAAATGTTTGCTCATTAAGTCCATAATAAAACAGAAATTTTAATTTTAACAAATGTACCCAAAGTGGTTATAAAAACTTGTTATCCAAAAAAGCATGAGTAGAAAGGGCGGCCAAGACACTTATTAGGAGCAAAGCTTCACAGGGGGTCATCTTGTGCACTCTACGGGTAAACTCAAGCAAAGTCAAGAGGGAGAGGAAAATATGGAGCAGAGCAGAGGGGGTCCCAGGGAAGCAGGCCATGGAAAGATGTCAACAGGATAAGGTGTGGTGGGAACCCTAGGAGGGAGGACCTACATTGAGGAGAGAGCAATAGCTCTTTTATGTGATTACATAACAAATGTTTGATGAATCATAGTGTTCCGGTGTATTGATTTTCTAGTTTTTTTTCTTTATTCTCAATTGCTGGACATCTACAATGTTTCCAGATTTTCACAATTATAACTATTACTGTTCTAAATGTCTTTGAACAGTTTTCCCCCCTTTTGGAAAATATACAATATAATTATTAAATAAATTATTACTACTGGAATATTCTGACAGTTTGCTCTTCAAAAAAAATGTATCAACTTGCAAGTCTGCCCAGTACATTTAAATGCACCTGTTTCTTCACAATCTGCCCAGCATTTAATTTCTAATTTTTGTTAATTTTTGCCAAACTAGCACAATTTGAAGTTTGCTGAAAACCTATATTTCTTTGACTGTTAGGGAGGCTGAACATTGTCTTCAAATTACAATATCATAGGATCATAGATTTGGAGCTGAAAGGGAGCTTAGAGGTCTCTGGATACAATCCTTTCCTTTTTTTGTTTTGCAGATGTGGAAACTGAGGCAAGAAAAGTCAAGAGACTTGTCTGGCTAGGGCTCACACAGTCACAGAAACAGCATCTGAATCAAAGCCATCTTGACTTCAAATCTACTTGTCTGTCCACCGTGACTCCTTGGACCATTTCTATATTGAGTAGTGCCCTTGAATATTTAATTCGTTCCTTGTAGGCTGCTGCCCTTGTTAACAATTGTAATCGCTGACATTTACATAGTGTTTAAAACTTTGCGAGGCACATCATCTTATTTGAGCCTCAGGCCAACCCTGTGAGGCAGGTGCTACCATTATCCTTACTTTACAAATGAAGAAACTGAGGTTTGGAGAAATTCAGTGGCTCATGTAGAGTCATCCAACTCACAATCTCTAAGGCAAGATTTGAACTCTAGTCTTCCTGACTCCAAGTCCAGTGCTCTGCCCTAATCTACTAATTGGCTCTGTGTTCTTCTCAGCTTGGAAGTCTCCTCCAAGGAAGCCAATTCCATCTATGCCTGCCCATTGGGAGTAACCGTCTTCTCCATCCTCCCATCAGTTTGAAGGGGTGGGGGTCCAGCTGAAGTGGTGGAGATCTGGCATCTCCTCCTATCATACAATTCTTGATCCTATCTTTTATTCCTGTTTTTCTTTGAAGCTTCTCATTGATTATATAGTAGAAGCCGCTCACCCCACCACATGCCTTATTTGTAACCCTGGGAGTGATATTCATTATTTACCTCTTTGGAGACTATTGTCACTAATTATACAAACACAGGCTCCTCTAATACAAACACAAACCACAGCAAACTGCCTGCTGTGTGTAGAATATTGCATTAAGTGCTGAGGAAGACAGAAAGTTTGGCTAAGACAAGTGTCCTGCCCTCAAGGAGTTTACAATCTAGGATCACAAAATTATAGCTCTGCAGCTGCAAGAGACTTCTAAGGCAGAGGGATCCTTAGCCTTTTGGGTAATGCTGACAGTCTGGTGAAGCTCACAGAGCTTTCTCAGGGTAACTTTACTAAAAGCATAAATTAAACACATGGGATTACAATGGAAATCAATTACATTGAGGTAGCAAAATACATACGTAAAAAAACAAAAAGAACAAATTCACGGACCCCTGATTAAGAATTCCTCTCTGAGATCATCTAGCCCTCGTTTGTTTGTTTGTTTGTTTGTTTGTTTACAGTTGCTACAACTGAGGTCCAGGGAAATGAAGTAACTTGCCCAAGGTCACACAAAATAACATCAGAGGAATGATTTGAACCCAGGTCCTTCTACTCCACATGGGATATTCTTCCCTCTGTAGCAGTAGGAAATGACACAAATTCACCTAGTTATAATGTGGACTAGAATGTGCATTTATAACGACTAACAAACATGCTGAAGAGTTACAGAACAGGGCTATGTGAGGACTGAGTAACAAAGTCATTATGAAGCAAGGAATCCAAGGAAGGCTTCCTGGAGGAGAAAGAAATGTTCCCTGCTCCCCTCAAGCTATTGAAAGTTTTAAAATGAATTAGAAATGAGTCATAATTAAGTCTCTGAAAAGAGGCACACCCCCTGACATCTATTAAAAATCAACTATGTAAAATTTTGTAAAAAATTTTGTAAAAAATGAGTCAAAATATAGATCGACCTTCACCTCAAATAAAATGATTTAGACAGGAACTTTGATTAAAATATCATGCCTCAATGGGGAACGTTAGCCTAGGACTTCATTTCCCCAAATGTATTGAGTGTCTATTGTGTGCAAGGCAGTGGGGCAGTGCCAGTCGGTACTCTGTGATATGATGTACATGATGCTCTCAGCCAACAGCACTAACCCAAAGGGTGCCTAAGCAGTTTAGGCAGGGCAGTGGATAGAGTCTTCAGCCTGGAGTCAGGAAGACCTGAATTAAAATCCTACTTCATATACTTCTTAACTGTGGGACCCTAGGCAAGTCCTGTAACCTCTCAGCCTCAGTTTCTCCCTCAGTAAGGTGGGAATAAAAATACATAGCACCCTACCCACAGGGCTTTTATGAGGACTTAAAGAAGATAAAATATGTAAAGTGTTCTGGAAATCTTATGTAATGTTAGCTATTATCCTTAGATATTTCTTCAGAAGTTTCCTGAAGCTCAGGGATTTTATGAGATTTTTATCAACCAATCAACAAGCATTTATTAAACACTTCAACCAAACAACAAACATTTATTACTCACCTATTGTTGTTAGTTCTCCAAGAGGACCTACTATGTGCTAAGCATTGTGCTAAGCACTGGGGATACAAAGAGACCAAAGACAGTCCCTGCCCTCAAAGATATCCTACTCTTCAAATGCTGGGGATACAAAAACACAAAAGTGAAAATGGGCTTTGCCTTCAGGAAGCTTGCATTCTGTCGGGGAAACTGATATGTGATACATATGTGTAGGTACAAAATTAGATATAATTTTGGGGGAAAGGCACTGGGGGGGCAAGAAAAGTTGCATGTGGAAAGTGAAGCTTGAATAAACAGCTTTGAAGGAATCTAGGGATTCTGAAGCAGAGGTTAGGAAGGGGTTCATTCTGAGGGAAGGGAGACAAAGATATGGTGATGGGAGATGGACTGTTCTAGTAAGGAAGAACAGTAAGAACACCAGTTTGGCTGAACCATAGTGTGCCTGAGGTGGAGAAATAAAGCTGGGAAGATAAGTTGAGTAGAAGTTGTGCTGGGCTTCAAATGACAAACCCAGGAATTGATATTTGAACCTAGAGGTGATAATAGGGGGCCACTGGGGGGGGGGGGAAGGTGTGGCAGGGCTATGGGGTGGAGAGAAACGCTGAAATTGGAGTTCTGCCCGTTTCTGTCCGAACCCACAGGCAAGTCACTTAACCCTTGTGTCTCAGTGTCCTCATCTGTAAAACAAAGGGGCTGGACTAAAGTGGCCTTCGAAGGCCTATGAACCTAGGCACTTCTTGACTCTCGGCCAGTGCTCTAAGATACCATTTGCCCCTCTCAGGGCTGGGCATACAAAGCTGAGAAAGTCCCTGCCTCCAGGAAGCTTACATTCCTCTACAGAAATACAATATGTGCTAGATATAAATCCTAGCTCTGCCACTCATCACTCCTGCGACCTTAGACATGTCATCTCCCCTCTCTGAGCCTCAATTTCCTCCTCTGTAAAATATAGGAAGGAGGCTACATGGCTTCTAAGGTCCTTTTCATCTCTCCTCATCCAAGGTGCTCTGTACCGGCCTAAGCTTCAAGCGAGGTCAGCTGAGGAAGAAGCCCTAAATGCATCGACCACCTGGGAAGGCTTCTCGGAAGAGGAGGTCAACATTCAGAGAGGGGCAAAGGTCTCTAAGGCTCCTGATGGGCCTTTTGGAGGGAAAAGACACCAGATAGTCCGGCTGAGGGATCTTTGAGCACCATTTGAATCCTGATCAGTTAGGTTCGTTTGGCTCTGAAGTCAACCCAGCCCTAGCTGTCCACACCACCTCTGCCCGGCCAACTTCTGCATTCTACCCGGGGTTGGGTTTGGGGGGCGGCATCCCTTTCTCCCTCTTCCCTGGGCCCAATGACGAGCATGACAGCCCCAGGATCCCCAGCCCGTTCTAGCAGGTTTCCCTACTCGGCGGTGGCATCCTGAGCGCCCTCTCCGGGCAGTGCCCGGGCCCGCCGAGTGCTGCAAGCATTGACCATGGCAGTCAGCGCCCACGGCAGTCGGTGCCTCCGCACCTCTGTCCATCCGGTGCATCCCTGTCCCTTACACTCCAAGGCCTGAAGCCGGACCCCGCTAGGGAGGGGGCGGCAGCGCAGACGCAGCTGGGGTCGGCTCGGCTCAGGTCTAGCCCGGCCCGGCCCCGCAGAGCGCTGACCGCGGCCGAGCGCTGTGTCCCCCAGGCCTCCCGCGTGCTGAGCCCTCCCCCAGCTTCGTCCGCCTGCTCGGTTCCCCCCGCCCCCAGCTCCCCAGGTCTACTCCCCCCCCCCCCCCCGGCCGCCGCCAGCTCGCCTCGATCCCCGCCTGCCAGCCCCTGCCGGCGCCGTAGCCACCGCCGCACGCTCCGCCCTGGGCGCCGCTCGGGCCCCGCCGCGGGGGGGGGGTGCGGGGAGGGAGGGCATCAGTGCAGCGGGGTACGGGGCTCTGCCTGATTTACGGCTCTGCTGAAAACCGCTCCTCCGAGCCGCAGCCTCAGCCCCGGCCGCCGCCGCAGCAACAAGTCTGGTAAGTGCGTGGCTGCAGAGGCTGCAGCAGCTGCGCGTCCTGCCGGGGGTGGCAAAGCACGGGGTAGCCCTGCACAGCCCGCCTTGCACAGCCCGTGCTGCACGGCCCACCCTGTGCGATGTGGCTCTTCCCGGATGGCCCTGCACAACCCTTGCCGCACGGCCCACCGTGCATGGCCTGGACCGGCCGTTGCCGAGGGGGGCGGGGTGGGGTGGGCTGGATAGTTGGGGGCCCTGATGGGGACAGGATAAGCGAGTGACAGAACTGGGGGCAGGGTGCAACAGTAGCTGTAGAAGCGTCGGAGACGAGCTATTTAGGTTATTCGGGTCCCCTGGGCGCCCAGCCCCCAAGAACCTGAGCCCACACTCAGCAGCGCGGGGGAAGGAGGTGGGGACTGGGCAGCCGACACCGGAGAGAGTCACTGCTGCCTTCTCATCACCCTTCCTTCGCAGCAGCAGCATTCCCTCCTCCTCCTCCCCTTTCTCTAGCAACCCAGGAAAAAAATCGCCAGAAAACCACTGGACTGATGTTGCCTTTGCCCCTGGATCCCTGTTTGCACTCCTGCATGGATCTGAACGTGTGACGTCCTCTGCTTTTTTTTTTTTTTCCAGCGAATGCCTTCCCTTTACCACATCTCTTTAAGCCTGATATCTTCTTCTCCACCAGCAATCACCCATCCATTCGCCCAGCACCCCGAGAGCTGGCCAGGTCAGAAGCCTGGTACTTGCCCTACCAATCTGCTCCCAAAATCCTACTTCTCCATTGAAAAACCCCTAACCCCCATCACCTACCCTTCTTCCTGAATACTCCTCAACCCGAAGGCACTCTCCTTATCGCGCCCCCCCCCATCTCCCCCTTTTCCAGTCCCAGTGAGCCTTCGCATCTTCTCACAGCAAAGCTAACCAATAAATGAGTTTGTTACGGGTTTTCCCTCTGGATGCGCAGAAATCAATTGGTCTGGAGAGTGTGACATGCCAGCCGTTAGAGGCTTCCTTGCAGTCCTGAGTGTTTCTGGAACTCTTACTGAGGCTGTCCTCCCCAACATCCATGTTTTTCTAACATGACACCCCCTGGCCAAGATTCCTCAGGCCTGTTAAGTTGGGCATAGAAACCATTTACCTGCCGAATGAGGTCTGGGCACAGTTTGGGGTTGCTATCAGTCATCTGGTGCCAAGGTGAATAGAATTAATTCCTATAAGAAAACAAGAGCCGCTAGTTATTAAGAGTCCTGTTGGAGAACTGCCTTTAACAAACTACACCTGGGGAGAGTCATATTAAGAGCATATATTTATAGCTGGAAAGGATCCCAGAGGTCATCTGATTCAACTGTCTCATATATAATAGTAGTTCCCATTTCTGTAGCGCCTGGGTTCCTAACCTGAGGGTCAATGGACAGCTTTTAAGCGGGTCCCTGAAACTAGATGGTTAAAAAAAGACATCTTTATTATTATTATTTTTACTAACCTTTGGTTTCCTTTGTCAGTCAGTCAGCTAGTGACAACTTTGTGCCAGGCACTCTGCCAAGTACTGGGGATACAGAAAAAGGCAAAAGACAGTCCCAGCCCTCAGGGAGGTCATAGTGTACTGTGAGAGACAAATGCAAGTAACTATGTAGAAAGAAGAGCTACAGATATGCTGGAAAAATTGGAGGTAATCAACCAGGGGAAGGCATTAGCATCTAACTGTCCGCTGATATACAACATTTACTCTGAGAAGAGATCATAGATATCACCAAACTGCCAAAAGGGTACACAGCAAAAAGAGTTTAAGGACCTCTTCTATAGAGCCTGAAGGTTTGCAAATTTGTCATTCTATTTTATGAATGAGGAAACTGAGACTCCAGAAGATTAAATGACTTGCCTAAGGTCATACAGGCCAAGCCATGATTTGAACCCAGATCCGGTTTCCAAATACAGCATTCTTTTCCCAAAACACTCCCATAGCATTCTGAGTTAGAGACCAGAGATACGAACACTAGGGTCCTTGCCCTCAAGAAGCTTACATTCATTCTCTTATCCCAATCCTGGGCAGATGGCATGTTTTTTTTTTGTTGTTGTTTTGTTTTTTGTTATTTAATCATATCTGACTCTTTTTGCCCTCATTTGGGGTTTTCTTGGCAAAGATGCTAGAGTGGTTTGCCATTTCCTTCTCCCACCTCATCTGACAGATGAGGAAACTGAGGCAAATGGGGTTACATAACTTGCCTAGGGTCACACAGCTAGTAAGTATCTGAGGTCGGATTTGAACGCAGGTCTTCCTGACTGCAGATGAGGCACTCGATCCACTACACCACCTAGCTGCATGTAGTTGCAATAATTCAGTGATATTAAATTGACATTTATTGAATGAACAAAGTATGTGCCCCAACCAAAGGCCTTCTTGGTTGAGAGCATCCATCACTAGAGGACTCCAGACTTTCAGGACTGTTTATACACTTTGAATACTCTTAAAGTCCAAGGCGCAAAGGCTTTTCCTCATATTGTTATAAGCAGGGCTCTGCCTGAGGCTGGAGAGGTGAAATTCGAAGGTTTGGGAATTAATATGGGTTAGTTGTCTCATTACTCATTATTATTGTTTAAGACACTGCTTACAGTTGGGAGAAGACAGCTGAGCTTGCTTTTCTCAAGACCTATTTTGAAAACAAATGTGTTTTCAGTAGACAACTGTCCCCATTTTGTCTGCTTCATTACTCCAATATTTCCTCACTTTGTATGCATGACTATCAGCCTGGATCAGCAAAGTGAGCTGGGGCCTTCTGTCAACTAGGAAGGAACCTGGGAAGACTTAGGATTCTGATCCCAGTCCTGCATAGGCAGTGTCTTAGAAGACACCTGGGCCTGGAAGGTAGCAGCCTGGGGCTCCCAGCCCTGAACTGAACCAAGTAGTGCCCCAACCAAAAGCCTCCTTTTTACATTCATTTTCCTGCAGGGATCCTGGGCAGGCTGCCTCTAGTTGCAATAATTCACTGATACTGAATTGACATTTGTTGAACTGAACAAAATATGGACCCTACCAGAGGTCTCCTTTCATATATTTAATCAGTAAAGAACTTTGTAAACCTCGACGTGCCATAGAAATGTGAGCAATCATTACCATTCATCAGCACCTCCGACTTCACATCTGTGAGGTAGATGGATGACATCCCCTTTATCTTGAAAATGAGATAATGGGAACAATAGGGTTTAGAAAACAAACAAAACATCTCAATGCAATAATTAGAGTCAACCTCTGTATTTTACTTCATATATCTCATTTCATTTGATACTCAGAATATCAGGGTATGAGAAGCGGCAGATAGACAGCAGACTCAAAGCCAAGAAACCATGGGTTCAGGTGCTACCTCTGGTACATGCTGGTTCCGTTACCCTGGGCCAATATGATCACTGCTCTGTCCTCTGGATAGCACTCTAAGAACTAAGAGGTTCTGACCTATTTCAGGAGAAGGAGTTTCCTTCCCTGGGAGTTCCCTATTTATACGAATGAATTCAGTCCCTGCCCAAAATAACCCTGTAGTATAGGTGTTGCTAGCAAGCTTCGAAATGTCTAGACCTGTGATTTCCTCCACATGGGGAATTCCCTGAGCATAAGATCTTGCTATCTTACCCATGACTTCTCGTCTTAGAAAGTTGGCTAGGGACACATAGAGGTTGCAGCCAGGATGTACCAGGCTCAGGACTTGGACCCCAGTCTGTCGGACCCCAAGACCTGGCCTCTATCCATGATCCCATATTGTCTTTCTAGCTGTGGGCATTTGTTTATTCTACATTTTATAGATGGGGAAATAGATACTCACAGAGGTTTCCCTCCTCGTTGCCACTTCCTGGGTCCCTGGCTCCCTCAAGTGCCAGCTACAAATCCCACCTCCTACAGGAAGCCTTTCTCAATCCTTTTCCCTCTGTTGATTATTTCCATTTTGTTTTGTTTGCATGTTGTGTCTCCTATTAGGTTGGGAGCCCCTTGAGAGCAGGTACTGTCTTTTTCCTCTTTTTGTGTCCTCATCTCTTAGCACAGTGCCTGGTACATAGCAGGTGCTTAATAAGTGTTTATTGTCTAACTGGCTAGTAAATGGATCCGAAACTGTCAGTATGGAGTAGGTAGGATCAGGATTTGACCTTGAGTGCTGATTCTAAGTCTCATACTCAGTTCCAGTGTGCCTCAGCTGTCTCCCATACACAGCTGCATTTTGAGCATTAATGTTATAATCCTAGCATAGTTTGCCACTTTGTCCTGGGGCATTTCTGCTTTCCAGAACCGTAAAATCCTCCTTGCACCACTGAGGGAATTCTCTGGCTGAGCCATAGTGTTAGCATTCAAATAATTAAAGAGAGGATGGACTGTGTAGACAATATTAGGAACCAGTTTTGGAAAGAGATGGAAAGCGAATGTTTCTAAAGGTGGGTTCCGGTTACTGGCATCCATCCATTCTATGTAGGTGCTGAAGTCTAAGCCTCCTGAACCCCTAACTGTGCCTCCAACTAGCTACACTTTGCCCCTTTGGGTTTTTTCCTTATTTGTCAAATGGAGAGGGTTGGACTAGATGTCCTCTGAGGTCCCTTCCAACCTGAGATCCCTGACCTTTGGTAACCTGGTGACGCCTGGGGGCCCCTTCTCAGAATTCTTTAAAATTCATTCAATAAAATACATAGCCCTTCAAAGGAAACCAATGCTATTGAAGTATAGTTATCAAAATATATTTTAAAATCCAGTTCTTGGATCCTAGGTTAAGAACCCCTGGCCTCAATAAATATCTAAGCTCTGACATCCTGCATGTCTGTGGCATTTGAATATACATAGAAATTCTCTGGTCTTTCTCCCTGCCCCTCTTCCAGGATTTTCAGAGTAATGCAACAGAAGGCTTTTGAGGAAAATAGATACCCCTGGCAAGAGTCCTTTGAAAATGTTGCTGTGTGTCTGCCATTCCGCTGCCCACGGTGTGGAGACCATACCCGCTTCAGAAGCTTGTCTTCCTTGAGGGCCCATCTGGAGTTCAACCACAGCTACGAAGAGAGGAGCCTCATGACAAAATGCAGCCTTTTTTCTCCCTTCAAAGACCCAGACCTGATCACTTCCTCAGAGCCACTGAAACTGGGGAGTGGCAGCCGAGCAGTCAAGCAGAAATCGAGCTACGTGAACTTGTGTAACCTGTCCCGGGAAAACCTGAAGGACAGGAAGTCCCTCCAGGTGGTGGCGGAGAGGCCCGTGTCTTTCCTGCCCATCTACACCTCTATAGACTCCTTGGGTGGCCCAAGGTCCAGCCCCGGGCTGCCCACCACGGATGCCAAAGCGTCCTTTGAGGCCCACGTGAGGGAAAAGTTCAATCGGATGGTTGAGGCAGTGGACAAGACCATCGAGAAGAGGATTGACAAACTGACCAAAGAGCTTGCGCAAAAGACCGCGGAACTGTTGGAAGTCCGGGCAGCTTTTGTGCAGCTGACTCAGAAAAAACAGGAAGTCCAGCGGCGAGAGAGGGCCTTGAACCGGCAGGTGGACGTGGCGGTGGAGATGATCGCTGTGCTGAGGCGGCGGCTTACGGAGTCTGAAGAGGAGCTTCTCCAGAAGGAAGAGTGAGTGACAAGGGCAGGAGAGGGAGGGTCCGGCCTTCCGGAATTGGGTGACCAGTTTTCTCTCAATGACCCCAGGGAGTATGGACTGCAAGCTTTATGTTTTAAATCCTTGTTGACTCGATGAAAGATCTAGGGATGAGTTCTTTGACGCTACTCAGTCTAGCAGTTTCTGAACCTGGCATGAGCTGGAGTGGGTAAATTCACCCAGGGTGTTGGAGGTATAGGGGTTGGCAGCTAGGTGGTACAATAGATAGAATGCTGGGCCTGGAGTCAGGGAAGACCTGAGTTCAAATCTGGCCCCAGACACTTACTAGCTGTGTGACTCTGGACAAGTCACTTCACCCTATTTACTTCAGTGTCCTCATCTATAAAATGAGCTGAAAAAGGAAATGGCAAACCACTCCAGTATCTTTGCTATGGATATGACTGAACAATAAAAACACCCATAGGTCACCATGATTCTTCTAGAGGAAGTCAGGCCAACTTTACTGCTGCTTCAGATAGGAAGATGGGCAGGGGAGGAGGTGTCTCCCAGAGTAGTACCACCGAGGACCTCTAAATCTCTCACCCTTGAGCAGAGCCCAGATTGCCCCACCTCGTTACTGTTCTTCTCTCCCTTTGCTTTTCTATTCCCATCAATCATCTTCCTCATCTTTAAAATGAGAAGACTGGACTAGATCTAGGTTCTTATGATCTCTCTTAGTAGGGATAATTAATATGTGCAGGACCTATGATTTTGTCTTTTGGGGTCCTCTTTCTACTGACATAAATCATAACCAGTTTGGTCCAAAGGAAAGAATGCTGGATTTGGAGTCAAGGGCCTTGGATTAAAATCCTATTTCTACTACTCCCTGTGTGTGTGGCTCCAGGTTCCCTATCTACAAAAGGAGTGGCTGGACCAGTTGTGGGGGAGCCCTCTGTTAGCTCTTAATCTATGATCCTGTAACTTCTCTTTGACTTTCTGGGTGGTCTTTGAGAGATCCTCCCTCCATGGAAATTCTCTGACATTTCGTTATGGGGGTAGAGGTGACCCAATAGCTGTTTCATTGGAGCAGCTCTGACTGGTTGTGGAGAGAGAAATTCTGAGAGACAAAGTGCCCAGCCTGCTCCATTTATTAGCAAAGCTAGCAATTGTAGATAAATGGAGGTCAATGGTCTCTCAATGACCAAAGACAATTAAGGATGATAGTCTCTTTTATAATGATTGACAAGATGACAAAGCAAGGCATATCTTTTTCTGATTGACTGGATGGTTGAATGAGGAGGTGGGATAAAGTGTCCTTTCAGCCTGTCCTATTACATCACTGGGAGATGAGATCAGTCCTCAGGTTATGGGAGTGGTCATCAGGCAATAGGTGATGGAATCAGTCTGAAGGCTTGAAAGGACAGCAGTTTAGATTGATGAGATTGACCTTTAAGTTAATTACGTTTCTCTGGAAAGTGGGTGATGGGTGAAGCCAGGGGTTTGTTCCGCAAAATTTGGATTTAGAAGGCCACATGTAGCCTTAAGGCTGCAGGTTCCCCACTCTTGGGTGAAGAGTATTTCTCTAGTAGAATGTAGGCTTCTTGAGGACAGATGCTGCCTCATTTTTGTGTTTGTATTCCTGGTGCCAGCATGGCGCTTGACCCTTATTAGGCACTTAATTCATTTGTCGTTTGTTCTTCATTTTCAAAGAGGACCAATGACATCATGGGGCGATGCCTTGGCTCTTGTGTGAATTGGATTTAAATGAGGGCAGACTTATACAAAACTGTCGGCCTCACTCTCTCTTCCTGAGTCATCAAAGTCCAGTGGCAGGACAAAAGTCAAGACAACCTTGGCATCTTTGACGTTCTCATCTGCCCATTCTGCTGGAGGAAGTCTTCACATGCTTGGGAAAGGCAGCCCCCTAACTTACCAATGGGTTTGGGGTCTGTCAGTCCCCCTCAACCTGCCCATCTGCCAAGATGCTTTTTGGGGGTGTGGCAGCTGCTCGTGCTACAGCATCTTGCAGTCACAGGTGAGAGTTGGGTAAAAGGTGGGTGAGCAGCACTGAAAAGGGCTTGACAAGCCCTCACACCAGAGGTGCTAGTCTTTCCTGAACACCCTGGACACCCCTAGGCACTTAATGCTTGTTTGCTGAATATGGAAGGCAATGTGTTAAACTCAAGATGAAACAAAAAAACTGCCCCGATGTCAGAGAGTTTTCACTGTATCGGGGAGAGATGCAGCTTGTCAACCCAGAAGAGCTAATAGCTAGCATTTATAGAATGCTTTAAGATTTGTAACATTCCTTTACATATACATTACCTCATTTGCTCTCCACAACAACTCTGAGGTAGAATTTGACCCATTTTACAGGTGAAGTGACTTGCCTCATGTCATACAGATAGTAAGTATCTGAAGCAGGATTCAAATTCATGTCTTCTGCCTCTAAGTCCAATGCTCTGTCCGCTATATTACCTAGCTGCCTCAAAATATATACAATAATTTGAGGAAGAGGGAGAGAGTACTAACATTTGGGGGTGGGGGGACATATCAGGAAAAGCCACCCATGGGTGACACATGAGTTGAGCCTCAAATGAAGTTAGGGATTCTAAGAGGTAGGAGGGGAGGATCATAGTCTGGTAGAATCACAGTATTTAGAACTCGAGGAGTGTGTTCTAGGGATGGGGGAGGGAGGGCTGACTGAAAAAGCACAGAGGTGAGAGATGGAGCATCAGGTTTGGAGAATCAAAGGGAGGTCAACTTGGCTAGAAGATGGGGTGAATGAAGGAGAATAATGTGAGGTAATCCTAGAAAGGAAGGCTGGAGTCAGATTGAGGAGGGCTGCAAATGCTTTCTGTGGGGATTGTTTCTCCCAGTTTTATAACGGAAGGATGATTGAGGGAAATTGTCTTCTTTGCAATAGCAAAGGAACCCAATTTGTGTTTTTTTAAAACAAAAATGTCATCTGGAAATGAAACATCCTTCTGGACAGATTTGACTCAAACTTGAAAGATCAGAATCATAACCAGTAGTTGTGCAGATTGGGCCAAGGAGTATAAGATGAACCTGGGGCAAGCAGGGCAAAATTTCTCTCCAATGAACTGTTTAAAAGCAAATTCTCTTGGAAGTTGGTGTGGGAAAGAGGCCTCAGGATATCATGGGACAGCTTCAGAGGATGAGTGGTAGGTATTGGTGTGAATTGAAAGAAGCAGAATTTTTTTTTTTGGTGGTTGTTGTTTAAGCTGATGGCACCTTCAAAACTGTGCTGTGCTGTGACAAAGCCCCTATTGCACCACTTTAGTTATAGCTCGATGAAAGGCACAGAATTCGTTGTCCTGTATTTGTACAACAAAGAATTTCAAGTTTAATTATAAATTCACAGTTAATACTCCCATTAGGCACAGACAAGTCAAGTCAAGCCAATAGGTATTTATTAAGTGCTTGATCTGTGACAGGCACTGTGCCAAACTCTGGAGATACAGAGAAAGGCAAAAAATGCTCCTTGCCCTCAAGTAACATATTTAAATGGAGAAGATGACATATAAATAATATAAATATAACAAGGCTATATTCTAGGAGACTGAAGTTAATCTTGTCAGGGAATATACTAGAAGCTGTGGGGGGGGATTGGATTTGAACTAAGAAAACATCTTCAAGATTAAGTTTTCAAGTAACAAGTTTAATAACTGCAAAATTTGAGATGTTGAGCTAAGAGGAGGAGAACAAATACAGAAATAAATTCTATTTCCTTTCTGCCAGCTTGTCACTCTTGTATTTTTCTCCTTTCAAAATCTGATGTCTAAATTCAATTCAATTTTGTTCTTGTTGTTCAGTAGTTTTTCAGTTGTATCTGACTCTCCATGACCCCCTTTGGGGTTTTCTTAGCAGAGATACTAGATTGGTTTGCCATTTCCTTCTCCAGCTCATTTTACATATGAGGAAACTGAGGCAAACAGGGTGAAGTGACTTGCCCAAGGTCACACAGCTAGTTAAGTGTCTGAGGCCAGATTTGAACTAGGTTCTTCCTGACTACAAGCACAACCCTCTCTATCCACTGAGCCACCCAATTGCCCTAAACAGCATGTTAATGTGACTATTTTCCCACAGCTCCTTCAACATTTGTCATTTTCTTTCTTTTTTTTTTTTTGGTCAGCTTTTCCAATCAAAGGAGTGTGAAATGGAACCTCAGAATTGCTTTAACTTGCATTTCTCTAATTAGTGGTGATTTTGGAGCTTTTCTTTTCACATGACTATTGATTAATAACTTCAGTTTCTTCCTTTAAAAACTATCTGTTCTTATCCTTTGGCTATTTATCAACTGGGGAATGGCTCCTATTCTTATAAATTTGGATTAATTCTATTTGAATTGAATTTGAATTCTAATTGAATTTTGAATTAATTATCTATTTTGGAAATGACTTCTTTACCAGCTAAGCTTGCTGCAAAGTTTTTTTTTTCTCCCAGTATGACTTTCCTTTCTAATTTTAACTTTGTCATTTTTGTTTGCAAAAAAAATTCAGTTTTTTGTAATCAAAATAATCTTTAATCTTCTGTGATGCCATGCATGATAACAAACTGTGCCTATCCGTAAATCTGAAAGTAAATTTCTTCCTTGCTTCTCTTATTTGTGATATCACCCTTGATACCAAAAGTCATATATTCTTTTGGACCCAATCCTAGTATACTGTATGAGGTGCTGGTCTAAATCTGATTTCTGACATACTATTTTCTTGTTTTCCTGACAGTTTTTCTTAAAAAATAACAAGTCCCTGCCCCAGTGGGTGGGATCTTTGAGTTTATCTTTGCTTCTGAATGTAGTGTACCTAATCTGTTCTGCTGGTCAACCTCTCTATTTCTTCCCCAGTACCAAATCATTTTGGTGATTCCTGCCTTGTAGAAATCTGGTACTTCCCTGGGTGCTCCCTTTTAGAAATAACCTTTTAAGGTAGAAACTGTCCAGAGGAGGAGAAGCAGGATATTAAAGGACCTTGAGTTCAAGCTGGGTGAAGATCCATTAAAGGAACTGACCATG